GTATGCAAATATGTATGTATATTTATATAATTATATATAAATATGGGTATATATATATATATATATATATATATATATATATATATATATATATATATATATATATATATATATATATATATATATATAACACACACACTCTAGTCTAGTATGTTTAGGGATCCCCTTTTTTTTTATATACTCTGCTGTGATCGTCTAAAAATTTGATGTTTGTATGTATATGTATATGTATATATATATTTATGTGTGTGTGTGTGTGTATATATATATATATATATATATATATATATATATATATATATATATATATATATATATATATTTATATATATATATATATATGTATATATTATATATATATATATATATATTATATGTATATATGTATATATGTATATGTATATATGTATATATGTATATATATATATATATATATATATATATATATATATATATATATATATATATATATATATATATATATATATATATAGTCTGTTTAGAGACCCCGGCTGTCAGAAAAGACAGCTAGGTGTCCCTGCTGTTCAGTATCTTTTTTAATGGCATAGTATATGGCTACTGACTCGGCATCAATTGTACTTAGCCAGTAAGAAATTTGCACTTTCTTTAAGAACAAAGTCAGAAATTATTAAACCAATCCCTGCTGCTCCATGAGAATCAGTAGAGGTATCACAGTAGCTTGTATGTGGGGTATTACCATTATTACCATGAGGGAGGTGGAGAATTTCATCCATACATTAAAGTCATGGATTTAGGCCCTGTTAATTTGTCAATATGTACATATACATGAGATCTATGCCAAGGTGCGGTAAATGTTGCTTCTTGGATGTTAATAGCATCAATGTTCCACACATTGAAGCCAAGAATAGTTTGGATAGTTTTGGCCTTCCATTCTAGGCTGCTCTTATCAGATTGGAGTATTGTGGCTGCTGGACATGCTTAACTCTATAATTAATCTCATTTGACAAAGCAAAGGAAATTTGTTGTCTGGATTAAATTGTGAAAGTCTAATGCCAAGTAACATGACCGTGAATCCTCATGACAAGAACTTTAGCAGTCATTGAGCAGGCAAGATGTATTCTCATGGCTTTATTCTGTAAAACTTATGAGGTTTAACAGCACTTTTTAGCAACATACTAAGAACCGGGCTCACATAGTCTATCAGGGACCTATCGAGGCAAATATACATTAACCTTAGGACTCTTAGGGAAAGTATGTATCTGTTACTTATGAATTGTAAAGGTCTTATAATGCTCCAAGCAACAATTCCTGATTTATGAACAATTTCCTGGGTGACGCCAGAATTGCTGGAAATGAAGTGTGGAGTAATCACCATAACACCAAGATATTTACAGATGTGTCTTTACAATGATTTATCCACCTAACCTTTGGCATGTCTGACAGTTTATGAGATCTAGAAATATGCTTGGTCTTGATAGGGTTGATTATGAATTCAAGGAAACTTTTTGCTGAATCTCCAAAGAACATATATCCCTAGTCATACCTAAATGAGATTCATCAGTGTGTCTCCTAACTCATTGTTGAGCATGCAGTGTGTGTATGTTAAATTGTGAAGGGGATAAAGGTTCACCTTTTGGAGTGCACTGAAGGTGCCTTGGTACCATACTAGTGCTCGTCTTAAAGACAGATAATCCTTTATACATAGCAGAAGCTTGCCTAAGAGATTTAGTTCATGGAGGATTGTGGTAAGGCTATGTTAAATGGTCCCTTGAAATCTATGAAATAAGAAGACTGTCCATTGCTTGGATTTAGGTACTGTGCTAACACAAATGTATTTCTTTTCCTTTTTGGAAACCAAAGACTGATAGCTGAATTTGATATCTGATATGATGGAGCAGATATTTTAGAATAATACAAGAGGGGGGAGGGGGGCAGAGGGAAGAAGGAAAGAGATGGGGTATAGTATAAGGTAAAGGTTGTTAGAAGAGGAAGGAGTTAAGGGAGTAGGGAGCATTATACAAAAGTATTATGGCAAAAATGATTAGGATAAGTGGACAGAAAACACACACACACACACACACACACACACACACACACACACACACACACACACACACACACACACACACACACACACACACACACAGAGAGAGAGAGAGAGAGAGAGAGAGAGAGAGAGAGAGAGAGAGAGAGAGAGAGAGAGAGAGAGAGAGAGAGAGGAATATCAAATGAACTAATTCCAGACATGATATCATAGAGCACATCTTCAGAATTCAATAATCTTATGCTCTGTGGATTCTAATAAACTTTAGCGAAGTCCAAAGTAAGTATGCATCCATTTTTCCTTCACAGTGCCTGAAAATTCATGCTCAACCTATCATATAAAACAAAGTATCAATAAAATAGGAAGAAAATAGTGATCCAATATCAAATAGTACAATATTTTCAGTCTACAAAATATCATAGTATTATATGTACATTATAAATATATATAATGGATAAGATAAGTTGCAAGTAA